CAAACTGGATCATCATAAGGTCGTCAGTCCTAAGACTGGTTGGACACGTACCTCCACTCTTTTCTATCCTGAGCTAACTTTCGCATTTCCCTAAAACTAGAACAACTCACATATTTAACTATTTGCGAACAGTAATCTAATCAACTCCTCCTAACTCCTGTTTCTGCCTCTAATATGTCTCTAACTAGACCTTCATGTCTGACAAAGTGTCCTACAAACCTATCTCGCCTGTTTCTTATTGACTTCCATACAGAGTTCTCCATTTTTTTTTAATAGCTCTTCATTTCCAACCTTCTCTATGCACGGTATCCTCATCATTCGCCTGTAACGTAACGCTTTTCTTTCCCCCCTTGCCCTCCGCAGAAATGGAAATTGATATGATATAAATGATGTTGAGCATTATCCTTATCAGCATCAGCTCTCGCGAAGATCACCGAATCCGGTCAGTTGTTGCATTTACAGTAAGTTCTCATCTTAATACATAGTAACGCACTACTCCTCCGGCTATAATGCACACGTACATCGTATGACTACGGGCAAAATGCATTTCACGTTATACTTACTTACATACTGACCGTCAAGGCGTGTTCTGGCACAAATACTTGAAGTAATTGAATATTTGAGGCAAGAAGTAGGCAAATATCGGAACAAAAAGAAACAGGCATCAGCTCCCCGGCTCCGCATCCGCTCTGTGCCGCCGCCAACTAAATCGAGAGATAGATATTACAATAGAGGCACGATTTCGAACGCATTGTCGGTCATCCGTGTAAACAAAGAGCAAGAAATAGTTCATAAATAAAAGAAAAAGTAGGATATCCTATTATAATGATGTGTCCATATTGTACAGAGTGTCTCAGGGTGTCTCCGACTTGGTTAGATGTTAATTTTGACTCATACGTACCACAAATTTTTATAATTATAGGTAGCTCTAACTTTACGATTTCCTTTAAAACTATTTTTTTGGACCGCCAAGTTTTGAAAATCACAAAAATTTTACGGATTACCTACGTTTTTCTTTAGTACAAAACAATCGAAGATGCTGTGTCATTTTTTTTACAATAATATCACAAATATCAACGTATAGTAGCATAGATAATAGTGTAATTGGCATTATTTGTACTTCGGTCGAACTAGGCCACGCAATTCGAATAAGGACGAATGGCTGGCAATCAGTGATGCGATCGCCGTTGAAAGTAATAAGAGATCGGTCGTCAGGCAGGACTGATTGTAATAGTAATAATCACGATGATCGATAGTTGTAAATATTCGATATGATGGTATAGAACGGGAGGATACATTTAGTTAATATACCTGTTTCGTCTGTCGTAGACAGATAATGTTAAAGATTAAACACTAAACGTAGAACTATCTACATTTTATGGCCTTTGTATGAATACCTTAAAGCTTTCGGATTGCAGGACTTTCTTCTGATATAGGCACTACTTCTATGGGCAATTTCGGAAAGTAAATTCTGTTATTGATACAGTCAAACAAATTTTTGGTTTCTATTTAATGACACCTAAGCTCAAATCGTGTACAACGACGGTAAAATAGTCCAATAATACAATGTATCAACGACTTCGCCTTCCCAATCTGCCTCAGCTGGCGGACATGCCTCTATTTCAATACAATGTGTAGATATAGAAATGTAAACAATCTGTACGAAATTCATACTTTTACATTGAACAACGGACACCCTATAGATATATGTATACCTCTATCTTGACCTACTTATGATTTACCGGAATTGCAAAGAATATCAAGTCAAACATCTAATTCTCTAAACTCTAAACTTCTACTTTCATTTAGTTGATTGAATTTGCCATGTTTTTCAATTAATTTCTTCTCAATTAAATTATGTACCTATGTACGTTTCCCTTTTTGTTTATTACATTTTTTTTTTTTTTTGAGTTAGGACGGACGTCAACGACGCGCGTCTTTCGACGTTCACCTTTCAGTATCGAAATTATGGCGCTGAAGCAACGCGTTCACCTCTCGCTTGCTAAAAAAGGTGTTCCATCATAAAGCAGGATTTATTTTCTTTGCGGTTAAATTTATTGCACGGCCAATTAACCCAACAACGCAAACATTCCGCTTGCAACTTAATCGAACGCTTTTCCTCTCTCTTTTCCACTTTTTTTTACTCTTCCTTGTCGCGCGCACACGCACCTTTACCGCTTCCATTCTTTTTTTTTATGGGAAAAATATCACTTTATATTGCTTAAAAAGTTCTATTCTTTAATTCGTTTAAAAGGCCTCTTTCTTAGACAGTTTTCCAGCGCCTTCTGCAGTAGGTACTGTATCCTATTTTTCTGATTAGGTTTTTTCGATAGTTTGCGAAAAATCGTTTGGTTCTGACGTATGTGTAATGTTATAGAAATCTATCCACTTGTCCATTAATAACTTGTTAAAGGTCTAATAACATTAAATTATTAAAGCATCCCGTTTAAAACACAATATCCTCGACATCGAATACAGGAGCGTTAATTATCTCTATCCTTTAATTGGATGTTTTATCATTTAATTTTATTAGGAGGTCGCATCATCAGAGAAGATAGCTGCACTAAGTTTCATCACAAGGGTGCATATACTTATGCTAGGATCATAAATTATTTATTGTATATGATACTAAATCTCCTCAGACAGTTCGGCCTCAAAATCCCATGTATTTTCTTATGTAGGTTCATTTTCGTCCTTTTTCGACCGTTTTACCCCTTCCACTCCTACTCTGACGTCAGGGCCGTCAACCATCTTTGACAGCTGGCATTGTCAGCCATCTTTGACAGCTGTCATCGCCGGCTATCTTTGACATGTGTCATTGCCGGCCATCTTTGAAATCTGTCATCGCTGGCCATCTCTGACGGCTGTCATCGTGAACCATCCTTGACAGCTGTCATATTAAAACAAAATGAGTAGTTTTTAATTTTAATAATTAATATCAATACTTAAAAGTCTCTCAAAAATTCTTGAACGACGTTTTAGATGGGTGAGTTATCGCAAAGATAAGCGAATGCATATCATAAAGAATTTAAAATTATTTTATAATTTGTGAGACACTCTGTATGCCCACGTATAGATTCTGCTGAGCGTGCGATCTAGTTCAATGCGTTGGGTGTGGTGGTCACTTCATCCGCGAGAGGATCTCCACGATGTTTGTTTTGCTTGTTTGTAAGTGAGTGTTTATACACATTACGTGTGCAAGTGTGTATTCTATTACACTCATCGAGCTACCTTTCTTTCACGATCTCCTCGGACGGTATTAAGTGGAAAACCTCTCTGGTAACAGTCAATTGCGAAGTACTATTCTGTACAATCAAATGTCGCAAAAGTCTGTAAAACGGTCAAAAAAAATAGTAATAATTCATGAAAAATGTGAGGTTTTTCTAGATTTTTGCTAGAAACTCCATTTAAGTTAGAGTAGATTTCGTTTATAGCGTCCCTTGAATTTAAAGTATACTTCAGTACAAAATTCAAGTGGCTATAGCGGCTTCGGATGTAACACCGAGTTCAGGTACAGCGACTGTTTTTAATGAGTTATTTGTAATAAACCCATAGTAATCGGAGCCGGCCGCCAAAAACACAAAGAGCTTTCTTATCAAATGGTCAATAAGTGTTGGCAAAAATGGTGAATGCTACGTATACGTGTCTGTACCTCTTTACCACTGCCTGTAACGACTTTCGGATATAACGACGAAATTACAGTGGACCCTTCATCGTCGTTATACCCGAAATCCACTGTATTATTATAAAAATAACTTTAGAGCAGCATGGACTAATAACAACCCTAATGAACTCATGATCATCATAAAGTCGTCAGTCCTAGATCTGATTGGCCATTCACCTCTATTCTTTCCTATCCTAAGCTAAGCTAAGTTTTGTGAAACTAGGACATCCCAATATCCTTAACTATTTATGAACAGTAATCTCGATAACCTCTACTCCTCTTAACTCCTGTTTCTGCTTCTATATGTCTCTAGAAAGAGGAGTTAAGAGAGTAGAGGTAGACACAGATTAAACTACTATACACAAATAAATAAAAATGTGAAATGGATTCAGACTCCTTGAATTCAATATTTATTTTTATTAAGTGATGCATAGATACATGATAGTAGTGACAAAAGATAAAACAGTCGAGTCCAGTCCAATCATTGGTCTAAAAGAGAAAAGTATTGTCGAGAAATGTTCACATTCACTGTTCCACTAGCCTGCTAATTATTACGGAAGGATTGGCACCTATTCCGATCCAACTTGAGAACAAATACCTTTACAATATTGCTTCGTCGGTAATAGTAATTTGCACACTGCTTTCTATGAACATAGTTAGCAATCGATTGAAATGTCTTTCCCTTTAGGAGATTGCAAGTTGACATTTGTTTGTGAGTAGACTTATAATTTACTCAAAAGATAAAAACGTTGAAGGATATCACCCGTCGCCGGGTATATTAAAAGAAAGTANTGTCACTTTCACCTGGACTTTTTCCTCTAATGTTGACGGAAACGTAAATGTCTTTATTCTGTTTGTATATAACTAATAACAGCGTTTGAACAGTAGTACCTGGTAGTTATTCTATGAATTTACAATCAAGCACTTTTACTTCTGATAGATACTTATATTTCCTATAGAAAAATGTCGTTCATAAAAAGTTTGTTTAATTGACAAACCCATGATGGTGCATTTTTTAATTAGACGTTTACTTACAAATTACTTTTCATCTTGGACAGGAATGAGTTGTTCCTGCTCAAATCGCAATCTCTATGCCTCAATAACTCAATACTTTCACCAAGCAATATCGATCTGTACGTACACTTAAGCCACCTAAGTTGGTACTTATTAAAATTCTACCAAGTAAACAGGTTCATAGAAACGTATAATAAACTTTGGAAATTTACTCTCAATTTCTACATGACTAATTAATAAAATTAATTCTGGTGACTCCCTAAATATCGAAAGTCGACAAACAAAGTAGAAATAGTCCAGTATTTGAAATCTGGTGTTTCAGATTGAGTTGAATATTTGGCTGATGGATGATGGATTTTCTTCAAAGTACATGTCCTCAAGCGATCGTCGGTATGTCAATTTATTTATTTCTTTTACATTCTTCATCACTATTGTATTATGAACATTTTTAAACTGCAATTTAGTTGAAAATCGCATTTCGGAAGTTATATAGTTGAGGTTATTTTCTGTTTGAAAAGGTGAGGTCAACTTGGCACATTTTCGTACATTAAGGAGCGATTATAATCATAACAGAGCAAGCAACAATTTTTTCTTTTAGGTATGAGATCAATAATTTTGCCTTTAATATTTTCTTAAACATATTTTTAAACAAAAGGCGGTAAAGACAAAATAAAGAGTAAGGTAGTGTTGCTTTTGGAAATTCAACAAAAGTCTAGAATACGCCTCTGTACGGGTGCGAAACGTGGACGGTGAACTTCGCGGAAGAGAGGAAAGGTTAGAAACGGTACCATGAATATAAGGAGTTAGATTAGTAGATAGGTACCTATTGAAAAATGTAGGAGACAAGAGGAAATCAATAAAATAAACAAATGGTAGGACGCCGACATGAAGGGCTAGTTAGAAACATATTAGAGGCAGAAACAGGAGTACAACGGGGTAGAGAAAGTCCTAGATTAGACTACTATTCGCAAATAAGTGGTTAGGGAACTGGGATGTTCTAGGATTTAGGAAATACGAAAATTGGCTTACAGTAGGAATAAGTACTTAATAGCGTACGTGTCCAAGCAGTCTTCCGAATGAGATCACTTTGTGATGATAATTCATTTTTATCCAAAAAAAGGTTGGGAAAAATGTTAGCCGCTGTAAGAGGCCCAGCGCATCCGCCAATTTTATCCGACTACGTATTTAATCCAAAATATATATTTTTGCATATATACTTTTTTTCAGAATCAATTATAAAAATGATATTTAATAATTATCATTAAAATTTTAGTTTTTGTCTAACGTCACCTACTTTATTATCGTTGTCGTAATAATTTGATAAATAATACTTGGATATTAAAAGCGGCAGACAAGACACACTTTCAGTGCTCGCAGCCGGACACTGTGTAATCAAATGGTCATCAAAACTATATAATAGCCGCTATAAAAAAGACATTCTTAAGTAATTCGCGCCATTATACCCGACGTCATTACGTTCGCGTGCAGAATTTTTCGAACTTGTAGAAACTATTAAGCGTTTTTGTGACAAGAAAGAAGACGCGTTAACTAGCGTTTGAAATGCCATTTACCAACATAATCACCTGATGTAATTCCTCTTGCTATAAAATTTGTAATATCTTCATAACTCCGAGAAATATGATGGTTAGGTATATGGACTATTTGCGTCTTCATATGAAATTTACAAATCGTAAGGTTTGGTTAATTAAAGAAATTCGAAAAAGGTTGTTAAAGGTGTATGTTTGTGGAGTGGACAGGAGTGGAGTTTGGACAGTGGACACCGGCGAAAAGAAAAGGTTAGAAGTGTTCTAAATGTGGTGTTATAGGCGGATGATGAGGATAACGTGGGTAGAAAAGGTTAGAAATGAAGAGGTATTGGAAAGAATAGGAGAACAGAGGACTCTATGGAAGTCAATAAAAATAGGCGAGATAGGTTGGTAGGACACCTTCTCAGGCCTGAAGGACTAGTCAAAGACATATTAGAGGCAGAAACAGGAGTTAGGAGGGGTAGAGGTAGACCTAGATTACATTACTGTTCGCAAATAGTTAAGGATTTGGGCTGTTCTAGTTTTAGGGAAATGCGAAGTTTGGCTCAGGATAGGAAAGAGTGGAGGTACGTATCCAGCCAGTCTTAGGACTGACGACCTTATGATGATGAAGGTTTGATGTTCGCATATGAAAAAGCGAGCCTGTTATGAGTGACTTCGGTTAATGTGACTAATCGCTTATAATGAACATCATTCTATACATGTAGTAGAACTAATGCTGATTATTTATTCAATCAATTCTTAAATTTTTTATTAAACTATAATCTTTTTGAAACATAAAAGCTACAATAATAATTAATTATTTTATTTGGCTGCAATTATTATAGAGTCGAGCTGTCACTTTCACCTGGACTTTTTCCTCTAATGTTGACGGAAACGTAAATGTCTTTATTCTGTTTGTATATAACTAATAACAGCGTTTGAACAGTAGTACCTGGTAGTTATTCTATGAATTTACAATCAAGCACTTTTACTTCTGATAGATACTTATATTTCCTCTAGAAAAATGTCGTTCATAAAAAGTTTGTTTAATTGACAAACCCATGATGGTGCATTTTTTAATTAGACGTTTACTTACAAATTACTTTTCATCTTGGACAGGAATGAGTTGTTCCTGCTCAAATCGCAATCTCTATGCCTCAATAACTCAATACTTTCACCAAGCAATATCGATCTGTACGTACACTTAAGCCACCTAAGTTGGTACTTATTAAAATTCTACCAAGTAAACAGGTTCATAGAAACGTATAATAAACTTTGGAAATTTACTCTCAATTTCTACATGACTAATTAATAAAATTAATTCTGGTGACTCCCTAAATATCGAAAGTCGACAAACAAAGTAGAAATAGTCCAGTATTTGAAATCTGGTGTTATAGGAAGATGTTAAAAATATCATGGATGAAAAAGATTAAGAAATTAGAATGTGTAAAAGAATATGAGAACAGAGGGTGAAGATTCTTGAATTTTCTACCCTTTATTAGTCATAGAACTATTAGGGAAAGATCAATTTGGGTTTAGAAGAAATAGAGGAACACGGAAGATCATTCTAGCTTTATGAGTAACAATAGGATTTGTAGATTTAGAAAAAGCTTTTGACAATGTTAAATGGGACAAGATGTTAGGTATACTTAAAAATTTAGGGATGAGTTACAAAGATGGAAGAGTGATACTTAGTTTGTATAAAGAGCAACAGGCAGTTATAGAGATAGGGCTGCAACGTAGAGAAGTAAATATTAGGAAGAGAGTCAGACAGGGATGCACACTGTCACCGCTACTTTTTAATCTATACATCGAAGTCGCGATCAACATCAATAAGACAGTACAACTGTAGGGATAGATGTACAGGGGCAAAAGATTAGTATGCTTAGATTTGCAGATGATATAGCAGTATTAGCATCTAGCAAGGAGGAGTTAGAGATAGCTTTAAATAAAATGGAAGCGGTACTGACAGATCAGTACTGTATGAAAATAAATAAAAGTAAAACTAAAATACTGATATGCAA